AGTTGTCTCATTGGCAATCATACCACATATTCTTATTTTTATATATAAACACCTTTCAAAAAGATTGGTTTTCCATTATTTGAAAAGAGATATTTACTATAGAGTACTGTTTAATATTTCTATATTTAGAATTTGACAGAACATGTATAAAACCTATATCAATTATCACATTTTATCAAAACTGCTCAAAACATTTTTTAATTCTTGTCTGAAAATGTTCACAAAATCTATAAGTATTGATTTTTTTGGCATATTTCAGTTTTTTGGACTTTTTTGCTATTTCAAACTGTTCCCTTTGTTCTGAAGGTAATGAAGCAATATTTACCTCAATCATTGCAAGCAGCTGTAGTTTCGTTTTGCTTTCGTCTTTGCAAAGTTCGTTTTCTTCTATTGTAGATATTGGAATTTTTGATATTTTTAACGAGCTCGGATATTTGCCAATCTTTATGAAATCATTTATGATACTATCCATGTTTATGTGCGACAAGAACGTGAACTTTGATATGTTTTGTGAAAATTGCAGCGTTGGATCAAAAGTTTACACATCCAGTGCAGATAAGACTGCGTCTGTCTCTACATCCATATTGCTGGGCAGCCTGTAACGCCACAACGGGAATCATACGATACAGTTGCAGGGGAGGTAGTGACGTTGCTAACGTAAAATGTTACTTTTCCGCGGCAGCGTCAAATTTTGACATTTTGGAAAAACATGCATTTTCGACTGATTTTTATCACTCAGACTGATTTAACTTGAAAACGAGTTCATGGACCCTCTTTTTTAAAATGACATTAGGTTTGATTACGTATGAAGATTATTTATAGCAATTTATATGAAAAAGTCACCGATGAAATTTTTTAAAATTAGATAAATATACAGCAAAAAAATCCGTTTTTTTTTTAATCCTGAAACTTTGATAAAAATTAAATATTTCCAAAGAATTGTTATACCAATTTAGAACATAATTATGTAAAGAAGATTTTCCAAATGTCTTTACAGAAATCCGCTTGTGTTTATCTTTTGAAACAAAACAGTAAGGTAAATGTCCACAAAACCGAAGTTTTGCGTAAATGTCTAAAACATTGACCCCATTTATCTCTAAAAATAGCACATGAAGGTATATTTTTATTACATATTTGAATTAACTAGGTGAAAAATAGCTTGTATGCAAATTTTCGTAAAAAAATCACCGTCACCCGGGGATCAAAACTGTATCGTATGCCCTTATACAGGATACGAAAAATCCAATAGCATATATATAGATAGACGTGTAACCCATTCCTTCATCCATTTTGACAGGTTTAAAAGAGCTCAAATGATTTTTATACTGGACAGTGGTCACTTCATTGGAAATCTCACTGTTTCACGTGAAATTAATCCATAGGTACAATGCATAACAATGGACAAAACCTGTTCAACTATTTTTACAAGGCGAAAAAGAAAGTCGAATCGTGAAGTCAGTAAACAATATTTTTTTATTCTGAGCATGCATGCAAATTAAAGATTATGTTATATACTTTACATTAAACACATTCGCTGAACAAAAACATTTATTATGAGAGTCCCAGACACTATATTAGATGACAGTTTTCCCACTAATTCCACGTGTTTTTAAGTGGTAGTAAACTCGTAGTACCGATTTAGACAAAAATCAGAAAATGTCTACCGATATGTGTTATAGGTTGCATTTTGCAGAAATCATAAATCCGTCCAATTAATTGTAAATAAAGTGAAACCGTATGTATTGAACATTTGTGATATGAGCTGTTTGTACATATGTGATAAGGTAGATGAGTAGGTGTTCCATAATTGGAAGTTAATACGTATAGAAGAAGAAGAAGTAGCAAGAAAAAGAGTCCGTTGACCCCATTTTTGCTTTTTCTTTTCTGAAAGCATATTAATATAGCTATTTTCTCATATTTTATCTTAAAATTCTATGGTGTAATTTTCTTTTTATCACACAAAATTAGGTTTTCCATGCATAATCTATACAAAATCTGACAATTTTGCACAACCTGTAGCGTGAAAAAAAAACCCGGTGACCCATACTTTTTAATATATTTTTGAAAAAAGCATGATATAAACTACATTTTGACAAATTATCAAAAAATTCTATGGATTTTAATTTAGACACCCATCTACCTTAATACCTTTATTTTGGCATTGCACATGTTCAAGATAATGTTTTTCTCTGAAAGTTTATGACGTATTTACGCTAAATCCATTGAATATGTACTTGTTGATATTTTGATATAAGTTGTTCTTGGCTTTGAACTAGCTTTCAGTAACTGCGAGTACTCTCAGGTCTGCAATTTGTGTTTGAAGTGTTTTTGTTAGTTGTGTAGTGCTTTGTATCGATCTGATGAGTTAAGCCGGTTTGAAGTGATTGATTTTTAAAGATTGTTCTTATTTTGTACTGTTTCACCACTGTCCCAGGTTGGCCACCCACCGGGCAAACATGTTTAATCCCACCACATACTATATGTGCCTATTCCCAGTCAGGAGTCTGTAATTCAGTGGTTTTCTTTTGTTGGTGTTATCATATTTGGTTTCGTTTATTGTTTTGTAGATTCTGTTTTGTGTTGTGCTGTTGCACCACTGCCCGAAGTTAGGGAGGGTTGTGCCCCCAAACATATTAAAACCCTACAACATTCTGTAAGTAATAGGAAAACAAAGGATATGGGATATCCATCCATGACACAAAATCAGTACATGCAAAGCAAAAAACACACAAAAAGCAAAGGAACAGCGCTTTTACTGCTGTTCTTCCAAGTCAGGAGCCTGTAGCTCAGTGGTGGTTGTTTGCTGCTATTTTCATATTTTTTGTTTGTTCATTGGTTTGTACATAAATCAGGCCGCTAGTTTTCTTGTTTTAATTGTTTTTACATTTGTCATGTTGGGGTCTTTTATAGCTTGCACTGCGGTATGGGTTTTGATCCTAAGATCGTAAGGTGACCATAGTAACTAACTTCTTCATCATTTGGTCTCTGAGGTGAGTTGTCTGATTGACAATCATATAGCATCCTCTTATTTTTACATTGAGTACCAATCATCAGTGAATATGTCTTTGTGTACCAGGCATCAGTGAAAATGAGTTTGTGTACCAGGCATCAGGGAAAATGAGATTGTGTACCGGGCCTCAGTGAAAAGGAGTTTGTGTATAAGGAACAGTGGAAATGAGTTAGCATCAGCGGAAATGAGTGTGTACTAAGTATCAGTGAAAATTAGTGCGTGTATCAAACATTAGTGAAAATGTCTTTGTGTACCAGGCATCAGTGAAAATGAATTTGTTTACTAAGCATCAGTAAAAATGATTTTGTGTACTAAGCAGTCTGATTAAAATCAAACCTCTCAGCGCTCCCGTTTTCTGATATGTCGCCCACGCGACATATCAGAAAACGGAAGCGCTGAGAGGTTTGATTTTAATCAGACTGTGTACTAAGCATCAGTGAAAATGGAAAGTAGTAACCATCTGTTTTCAGATAAATGAAAATGATTTTGTGTACTAAGCATCAGTAAAAATGACTTTGCATACTAAGCAGTAGTGAAAATAAGTTTGTGTACCAGACATCAGTGAAAATGAGTTAATGTTCCAGGCATCAGTGAACATGAATGTATGTACCAAAAATCTGTGAAAATAAGTTTGTGTACATGCATCAGTGGGAAGGAGTTTGTGTACCAGACATCAGTGAAAATGTCTTTGCATACCAGGCATCAGTGAAATTGAGTTTGTGTACCAGGCATCAGTGAAATTTAGTTTTGGTACCAGGCATCAGTGAAAATGAGTATGTGTACCAGGCATTATGGAAAATTGGTTTGTGTACTAAGCTTCAGTAAAAATGACTTTGCATACTAAGCAGTAGTGAAAATAAGATTGTGTACCAGACATCAGTGAAAATGAGTTAATGTTCCAGGCATCAGTGAACATGAGTGTGTGTACCAGGCATTATTGAAAATGTAGTTTGTACCATGCATCAGTGAAAATGAGTCAGTGAAAACGAGTTTGTGTATCAGGCATCACTGAAAGTGAATTTGTGTACCAGGCATCAGTGAAAATGAGTTTGTGTACCAGGTATCACTGAAAATGAGTTTATGTACTAGGCATCAGTAAAAATGAAATTTTGTAGCAGGCATTAGAGAAAATGGAATGCAGTAACCATCAAATAACGTTGGATGTAGCAAGCACAGAGATTGACATATGGTATAGAGATATATCTACCATTGAAGACCATACGTTGATCTTTTTCATAGGGTCTTTGGTTTTTTATGTAGTGTTTTCAGACTGTCTTTTCCTAATTTTTCTTTTTTTGTCATGATTTTGTCTGTCTCTCTTCGATTTATTATGACTTTTGATTTTGATATCCTTTTAATATCTTTCTCCTCTTTATTAAATGTTGTTTTTATGTTGCTGTTGTTTTAAGATATATCCCATAACTTCTTTGAGTCAAAAACTTTTTTCATATATGGAACATTTCACTAAACATTTAATTTAATAACCTGCAACTCTTTTCACAAAAAATCTTACGATTAAAATTGATCGTAAGATATACAAAAATGTGTCTTAAATAAAGTTGCTGCCATTTACTGGACATTTCAACAAAATCAAAATCCTCTATATTTTCAAATTAAGTATAGATACAGATACAAAATATAATAAAAATACTTTTTTTGAATGAAAACTGCAGCAGAACTAAAGGAACAGGAAAAACAAATAGAGGAATCATTAACAAATTACCTACCTTCTTGTTGTCATTAGTTCATATACAGTAGGCAAATATACATGTAGGCTGTATGGTGACCTAAAGCTGCATACATCTATGTCTTATGATTTCTGGTGGATAGTTCTCTCATTGGTGATTATACCAGATCTTCTTGTTTTTATAAAGTGATAAAAGCAATCTCTTTCCAGAATTGCACAACAAACGATAGATATCTAGATTACAAGTTTTACATATTTTTTTTTACAACTCTCTATCATAAAAAAATATAACTGACATGAAAGTAAATGATTTCATCATTTTTATTATCAAATATAATTAAAAACAGAAGACTTTAATCCTTTTTTGGAGCATTGGATTTTCTCAGTCCCTTCTTCCTTGGACCTTGCAAAATGTTCATACCCGAATACAGCATGAGACTTTCTGGGATCATATCAAACAACCATCCCTGAAAGATAAAAGATATTAAATGTACATAACATTTATATTTCAAGTTTATTGTAAAACAAATATGATACAGGGTGTTGTATGAAACATTCTACATGTACTTACAGTACAAATTATTCAATTTTCAAATGAGGTCAATTTCATACGTCACAGGTAGGAAGTTAACAGCCACCAATTGATCAAAGAGTTTATCAGACAACCATAGGGCTATACCAGTCCAAACCTTCCTGCTTATTACCTACCTGCATTTAGACCAAATAACAATTTTATCTTGATGAATAGTTTTCTACCTTATGAATTTACAGGAGTAAAAGTTAATGTGACAAAAACCCAGTAACAACAATAACTATGACTGTTATCAAAACTTCTTGTTATGGAAACAATTTGGCAGGCTAAGTGACTGTAGATTTGCATTTCAATGTTCTATTTTACAAAAAGGTGGCATTCATGTTTTATAAGTAGTTCCAGTTACAAATCAAAAGCTTATACCAGGATCACACAATATATCAGTAACCCTAAGTTTGGTAACATTATTTCCTTACAAGGACTTTTTCAATAACTAGTAACAACTGCAATCATACTTGATCACAATAAAGTAACTTGAAGAAATTAATTCTTTACAGATTTTCAAGTGCTTTATAACTATATCACTGAATATTTGGTCACATATTCAAAGTCATTGTGTGGGAAGCGGCCATCATCCATTATTCTAAAAAGAGATCATGAAAGTATTATTTCCTAACAATTTGACAGGAATTCATCGTTTACTAAGGGACTTAGCTCTTTGGCTAAACCATCAGAATAAAAAAAAGTATGTGTTTGTTTTTTAAGATCGATGACATTATCTTAATATTTCAAAAGATTTGGTCAAGTGGTACTTAAAACTATCATCTGGAAACCAATATTGTAATGGACAAACTAACTTGTGTATTACTATATGACTCCCACTTCAATGCAATATATAGCACATACAATCTTTCATGATATTGTTTTAAAATTTCAATAGATTTGGTCATTTTGTACTTTACATATCATCTGGAAACTCAACAGACAGAGAGATTAATGGATGGATAGGCATGTGCATCTCTATATACACCTCTCTTTGAGGGCAGCGGTGTAAAAAAGATTAAGAATCGACATATGATCAACATCAATGCAATATATAGCTCATACTTACCTTCTGACTAGAACAAGTTTTTATTGTATATTCTTAAATGTACACTATGATAATCTATTTATCAAGATAAAAGGGAAGAAGGGTGATATCTCCAAAAAACTCATTTTAATACTGCCACATTATCATGTGACTGTCAGAATTTAGGAACCTTGTTGTTAGTTTAATGTTGTTTGCTATTTAGTAATTTAGGTGTTGATGGAATATCTTAATAGTTTCTTTTCAATTTATTCACAACTTTTATAGACTCAGGATGATTTAGAGCTGGACATTGTATAGGCACCAGTCTTTATGTAGCCCTGTACATGTCTTATGGTTTGTTTTGTTGACATATTGTATAGGCATCAGTCTTTACCTAGCCCTCTACATGTCTTATGGTTTATTTTGTTGTTGTTTTGCTGTCTCCTTAACTTTTATAACTTACATCCTTTTATTCACAATGGTTAAATTCCTGTAATTTGAGGACAACACTTACAAGTTTGTTATTTCTTAATGAGAATTCAAGTCCATGAGTCCTTGAGATCATACTCTTCATTTATCTTTGTACTTCTGAACAGCTGTTTTAAACTTTTCACCCTAAAGGATAGTCTGCAGTGAATGAGATTTATTTCTCTTCACGCCTACAACTGTCAGTTATCCTTAAAGAATGAAAGTTAAAGATGATATAATGGACAAATATACATAATTAACTTTCTGTTATTCACAAAGGAATCTTTGATATGTAATTGAAATGAATTGATAATACATCAAGGTCTTCCTAATTATTAATCAAAGTACTGAAGTACTGAACATCGGATGACTGCTAGTTCTTGTGGATGGTCACAGGCACTTGTCTCAGAAAAAAAAATCACATCTCTATACCTGAAAGTGAAGTTAATGTACAGAGATATATTTTTTCAGAGACAAGTTCGTGCGTGGATGGTGAATAAATGACGGGGAATTCAACATCACCGTAATAACTATTATATTGTAGTGATACAAATCAGCATACTTTGGTTTGTTGTTATACATCGTATTAATATTTGTATATAACAGTTACATGTATATATAATTTTCATCCATTTGTATATCATTCTATTCTACTATTATAATAATACTGCAGTGCAAGTGCATGGTGGACACTCTTCTGTAATAATATGATTTTTCTAATAGATTGGATTTGAGTAGGCATTCATATTTTCCCGCAAAACGTTCTGGGATATTCTTCCGCATGCGTTAACACAATTTTTCTGTACATGTGCATAGATATTTTCAATGATTTTTTACTTATATATATATTTCTAACGACAAAACATTTTCATATTATTAATTTATGTTCTAAACAAAAATATTTTTATGAGTATTCAATGAAGAAATGAATTTATAACAAGCGATAAGGAATGTTATTTTGCACTCGATTATGTCCGCGTATATAGATCGATCACCAGTCAAACACGAAAGTTACGTAAGTAGAAATCTCGTCGGCAACAATACATCGGAATGCCCTCACGGTTATCACGATGTAAAAATGTGAAAGGTCAATATCCCTTATTTCAGATCTATTTTGTTGTTGTTAATTTTAACTAGAATCTTAACTTGTTTGATTAAAGCATATCTATTGAATGTCAATCTTCAGTCAATGAGGGCACTGTTATAAGGAATTATGGCTAATTAAATTTAAATTAAAAGAAATACATATTTTTACAGTGACTATATTGTGTATAAGAGAGAGGTGAAAGATACCAAAAGGATATTCACACTCATAAGTCGAACAACCAATAGTCAAACAACGGTACACAAAACACAATATAGAAAACTAATGACTTAGAAATACAAACCCCAACAAAAACCGGGGGTGATCTCAGTTGCTCCTGAAGGGTAAGCAGATCCTGGCTCCAATTTAACACTAAATACCACTACTGGTAGTCCTAATGGTTTACTAAATCATACTAACAGGACAATACTCAGTACAAAAATATCCTTTCAGTCATCCAATTCAATAGCTTATTGCCATTAACTAATTTTATTCTGTTATTACATTTTTAACAAGTTGTACCTTTGCCAATTGTAGACATATTCTAAACAGGACAAAATGGGGATGATAAGAGGTGATATATACGTGTTTTAACCAATTTTTGTTTGGAAAAATAACTATCGATATCAAAAGTTTTTTTTAGCTTAAGAATAGATTAAATGTAATTAAAATATTTGAAAAACTACACACAAACATGACAGATAAATTGCTCTTTCCGCTAGCTCTTCATTGTCAATGAAAAGTTACGTTTTTCCAACAGAAAACCACTCATTAAAATGGATATCTAATTAGCCTGTCAATTAAAGAATTGACAAAAAGATTATTGATCCATTGGGTCTCAAGAAGAGGATTTTTCTCTTCAATTTTTATGATCTCAAATGTGAAAGTAATTATCACTGGTGGCTAAACTGATTTATTGATAGGCTTGAAAGTATTAGAAATCCATGAACACCATAGAAGGAACATTTCTATCAAACTTTGATTTCCTTTGTTCAGCATTTCTCAACAAATCAGTGAAGTTCATCTTTATTTTACATTGGTATAGCCTTATATATATAGATATACATTATGAGTACATAATTAATACAGATAGTAATCAGCAAACTAAAATGGGAGGAAGACTCAACAGTTTCTTTATACCATTGTACATGTATCTTTTAGTCTGTTTTGGAACCATTCAATTTCTTTATCAGAGCTCCGTTTTTCTCCTCTAGAAATATTCTGACCAGAATACTCATCTGCATCTGCTTAGGTATTATATCCCTTTAAATATTCATTTAAATTAAATTTCCCCAAGACATGATTGTGTTTTGCTTCAACAGAATTAGTTTTTCTCATTAGTAAAAGTGTTCACAAGTAATCAGAATACAAAAAAAAATGTGTTTAAATACTCCTTATGGGTCCAATAACCCATCTGCACTATTTACATTTGAAGATTAAATTTGATGTGAGGGCATAAATTAAAATTCCCTAAAAGGTCATAACTACCATGCTTAAACAGATATTAACATTGTATTTGTATAAAGTTTACATTATTTATCTGACTGATGTAAAATATAATGCTGGTAAAGCAAGTTTTCCCCTTTTATGCCTTGTTAAGTACAAAGAGAAGCAAGTTTATAAAAGTTAATGCACAGAAGATTGGTTATAAGATAAGCTCTTAATGCATTCATAAAATGTTTGCATCAAAAGTTATTCTGTAAGACAAGATTCAAGATATTGAAAAAAATATATATGAGCATGACAAGAATTGTTGTATAAGATTAAGAAAGGGCAAAGAGTGATTGGCTTAATTGCCCTAACTTTTAACTGAAATTTGAAACTTTGTCAAGCATAAGATATCCATTTATATTTGTTTTAACAATGGGGTAATATAAAATTGAAAAACAGGTTTTTTTTTTATCTCTGATGTCACAATAAATGCAGATGTAATGCTACAGAAAAGGCCCTTCTAAGCGTACATGAAAAGTACATATTCTCTAAAAAAAGATTTGAGATAGATTTTAGACCAACAAATAAAGAGCATGTGCAAGTACCAACTAAATAATTTACCATAGTGTTTGTCTATAGAAAACAACATCTCTCATGTAAATATTTTTTGCGGAACTTGCATGAGCTAAATATTTCTCTTACAAATATGTTTTGGCATATGCATCTTCATATCTACGTGAATATTTATCATATTTCAAAAATCTTGTAGTTTAAACTTTGCATCAATTATTTAAAAAAACACCAAGATAACCTAATTTTGTAATATTTCAATTTTCAGCACCCTTTGTCCTTTTTCAAGATGTGAAACATAAAAAGTATTGTGATTACTGCAGAAGTAAAAAAATGAAATATATATGTTAAATTGCACTGCACTATTATAAAGAAAGTAATATGAATAAAAAGTAAATGGCCTTAATAAATAAATCAATCTACTCTAAAAGTCCCATAAATGAGTACAATGCCTCAAGAAACATTAAATCTATTTTTAAGTAGATTTGGATTGTCAGTTGTATGATAAAAAGCTGTAAGACCTAACAACTGTAAAAATCAAAGTACTGAAGTACTGAACACCGGATGACCGCACGTTCTTGTGGATTGTCAAAAGCACTTGTCACAGAAAAAAATCACATCTCTATACCTGAAACTGAGGTTAATGTACAGAGATATTTTTTTTCTGAGACAAGTTCGTGCGTGGATGGTGAATAAATGACAGGAATAACTATTGTAGTGTAGTGATACAAATCAGTATATACTGGTTTGTTGTTATATATTATATTAATATAACAGTTACATGTATATATAATTTTCATCCATTTGTATATCATTCTATTCTACTATTCTAATAAGAGTGCAGTGCAAGTGCATAGAGGACACTCTTCTGTAAAAATTCGATTTTTTAAAAAGATTGGATATGAGTAGGCATTCATATTTTCCCGCAAAAACAATCTTCCATGCAGAGTTACTGGTCCTTGCCAGAATTGTCTCAAAGTGTTCTTGAGATATTCTTCAGCATGCTTTACCATATCAATGATTTTTTACTTATATATATATATCTAACGACAAAACATTTTCATATTATTAATTTATGTTCTAAACAAAAATATTGTTATCAGTATTCATTGAAGAGATGTATTGATAACAAACGATAAGGAATGTTATTTTGCACTCGTTAATATCCGCGTATTTATCATGTTTATAGATCGGTTACAAACCCAAAACGAAAGTTACGTAATGGAAATCTAGGCGATAGCAATACATCGGAATGCCCTCGCGGTCATCGCGATGTAAAAATAAGCAGAAAGGGAACATACATCTAATCATTTCAAATTCTTGAATTTAATTTGTTTGTTTCTTTGTTGTATTTGAACTCATATAAGAAACATTAAAAGTATTTCTACAAAAAACATCTTCAGAAATGTAATATTGAACTCTGCAGTGCTTCAAAACATTATTAATAGTAATTTTTTCTTCAACCATTTTTGTGATTAATCATCGAATACAATGTCCAATGCTCTTTTCTAAAGCCTCACTTTGAAATCAGATCATCAAAACAGTAGGAGAATTATTTTGAAAACAAATGTAAAGACACCATTTCCCAGTTTAAGCATTATGGAAATAATGAAAAATATGACCCTTTAAAGTTCAAAGCTCAGTCAATAAATAATTGATGATTTTTATATAACAATCCTTTAAATAATGAAAACAACACGTTATAAATTTCATGCGTCCGAAGCGCTTTTCCTTTAAAGAAAGGCAAAATGTGAGTGGGAATCATTTTTTTTTATTACAAAATGTTTTGTGGGAACTTGTGTGATTTTAATTGATATAAGATACTATCACATAACTTTCTTCCATTAAAGAAAGTCTTACAAAAGAATTGCATTCCTGACTACAAATTTGCCTATTTCATTTAAAACCAAGACCTATTTGTTTTCTCCTATTTTAAGATCCAAGATGGCAGAAGACCCCTCATGCTGCCTTGAATTTATACAATATGTCACTTTAAAGCATTACTAGATCTAATTAACAGGTAAGGAAGTGAAAACAAGAGATTTTTAGTGAATATATATATACTTACAGTAATGCTATGTGACCACCATCCATTTGTTGTCTTCTCAAAACCAACAGTATTTAAGGCACTGGCAGCATACTGATCAGGGTATGGTATCCAAAAGCTACCTTTTTTTATCTTAGACATTTTGGTAGCAACAAAATATGGCAATACACTCTGAAAGAGAAGATAAGAGTTGCCATTGTTTAAAATGTGATGACTATAGTAAACTCAAAGCCTGATACAAAGTGGTGAAGTCTGGTTCTATATGAAACCGAAAGCCTGACACATAATATGCTATATTTACTATTTTGACAGTCAACTGTACACAGTTGGTGTGAACTATTAATATTAGAAAATTTCCAGTAACTTTGTGTTTAAACTATAAATAGATATATGAAGATGTGGTATGATTGCCAATGAGACAACTTCCATCCAAGTCAAAATGTGTAAAAAGTAAACAATTATAGATCAAAGTACAGCCTTCAACACTGAGCCTTGGCTCACAACAAACAGCAAGTTATTATAACAAGTTCTCAAGTTATTAAATTGAAATAACTTGAAATGCCATTCTCCAATCAATCAAGGACCATAATACTGAATGGCAAAAGAAGTATGTTCAATAAAGCCCTAAAATGGCCCCTATTTCTAGCTACAATTTTAAATTAGGTTTTATTAACCAATATCACAACAACTCATAGCTAATAAAAAAACTAGATAGATTTTTATGTTATTGTTGAAAATTTACATAATTGCATTCTTTTCGTGAAGTCACAAATAGCACTCATTTTGATTTTCCATGAAAATTCAATGAAAATGGGTAAATTTACATTAATTTCATGGAGAGTAAACATAGAGCGCAAGCACTGACAAAAAACATCTTTTAACATATTGTTTGTTATTACATTTTACATATCTGACTTATATATTTAGTTTGCCAAAGCCTGCACTCTATGTTATCAATGCCTAAATTTGGTTGAAGACGTGACAATTTTGTCCAATTTCATAAAAATCTCAATGTTTTGCCAATTTGGGATAATATGAAAGTGTTAAATTAAAACTTTGACAAAAATAGTTCTATTAACGTTATTACATGTCTTTTCATCAACTTAACAAAACATTTTCTATCTTAAAACATTGAATTAATGAATCGGGGCCACATATGGCCCATACTGAACTTACTCCTCTAATCTTCAATATCTAACTTTACTTCAATTTTGTTATCAGTAACAACATATTTAATAGACAATTTCCATATTACCGACTTTTGTCTCTGGATTTTATATTTATTTTGAAAGGTTACCTTTTCTGTTAAGTTGGACATCCTGGTACTCATTCAAGTAAGAGCAACTCAAAAAGTAAAATCCAGCATAGAATCAGTACAATTTGGAGGGAAAGTTAACTGTTTTATGTTTTCTGATCTTTTCTATACACAACAAAATCATTAGAAAACAGTTCACTATCAAATGTGGATTTAGAGGGTTTTCAAGGGGCCCTGGCCCTCCCTTTTGTGGGAAAAATTTGCTTGATTATTTAGGGAATCACTGAAGCATGACTGGAGCGGGCCCCCTGTTAGGCAGTCAGTGGGCCCCCCTTATGAAAATTTCTGGATCCACCACTGACGATCCCCCGAAATTGCACTGATTATAGGTTTGACTTTACTTCTTTTGGTTGCTCTTACTTGACTGAGTACCAGAATGTCCTACTGCAGAGTAGGTTACCTGTCGAAAAATTATATAATCCGGAGTCAAAAGTCGGTAATATGAAAATAGTCTATTGGAAAAAAATTCGTTGAAACGTTCATTTGTAAATGCACGAAATATAAAGTGTACCGGTAACTTTCCAAACAATCAAGGACCATAATTCCCAAATGGCTTAAGTGAAAATCATCATGATCATCATTAGGAACATTATAAAATTTGAAAAGCAATGGTAAAAAGGTTTGTAAGTTTATGCAGTAAAACAGCTGGAATGTCTGCCCGTCCCATCCACCCAAATGCTGAACAGCCCCAAATCAATAACCAGATTTCTGTTGGAAAAGCTTTTATGTCAAAGTTTAAGGAATATTATTCAGAGCTGGTTTTGAATTGATCTGTTTTAGTGTTTGATTGTCTGGCCTGAAGAAGGACTTAAAGTAATACATGTTTTACTCATTTGAAATTATAATTCTTAATAAAAAAAAGAAGCAAATATTGAAATAAACATGATACATTTTGTTTAAAAGCATATTACATCCCATTAAAATCAAACTTTTGGTTTAAACTAAGAATTATACATAACATAATTTAAAATGCTACAACATTGACACGACAATGAAAAAAGAACCCAATTGAATTTTCTTATAAAATGTTTTGGTGATGTTTTAAAAGATGCAGTTTGAGCTTTAATCTGAATAAATAATATTTTCTTATCACAGACAAGACATAAAAAAATGAAAGAAATTAAGATTGTTCATGAGGAGTATCCCATCCTACACCTCAATATCAGTTAAAAGAAATAGAAGCTGCCACATCTCAAATGTGCACGAGTGTACTAGTTCAAACAATGTGGTTCTGTTGATTTTTCACTTAAAACCTTTATTACATGTACTACCTTTTTAAATTATCACCAAATCATATTTATATGCGTTTTCTGATAATCTAAATCTTGTTGACCAAATAAATTAGATGCAAACTGCTGAAATTGAAGAAAATAACTTTTAATAGACCGAACAATGTCCAGTACAAAATAGTTTATCTGTCGCCTGAACAGGTAAACTTCAGCTGTCAGAAAACTAATTAACCTTGTTTGTAATGAGAGGGTATTAAAGTAAGGTTTGTTTTGATAGTAAGTATTCATCATTTCACTTATATGACCCGAAATGTGTGACTGTTTAAGGCAAAAGGTCAGGTTAAAAAGATTGCATAAACTTCAATTTTTTTTTCTGAACTATGTTAAAATGTCCGTTTCAGCCTCTGCACAAGAAGTCATTTATATAATTTACCAGACAAGTCCGGACAATACGACAGTTTTGGAAGTCCTGAGTCAAAATAATGTTTCCTTATTTTCTATTTTTATGACAGATTGCATTGATTCGTTTTCGTAAGTTCCAATTTTCATGGCTACTTGATATGGTGGCTTTGCAAAAGTCTTCATACAAGCCTCAGGGAAATCTGTATTTCGTTGAACCCTAATTCATGGTTAATTTATACCCATTGCACCTACCATGTTACTCGATGTGGAAAGATTTTGGTGGTAAGTCTCACAATGTGAAGTCACAATCAAGAAAGAAAGATGGAATTGTAGCTCTGACAAATGTAGCATATCTATAGTCATCTGTGTAGTTTATATACATATATTTTAGGTGTGAATATAATATTTCTAAGTAAATAAGAAATACCTGTACAGTAATACCACGGTCCCTGTATTCTCGTTCTAGACACAATGAAAAATAATGAACAAAAGCCTGGAAAAAAAACAAAATTTTCAGTAAGAAAATATTAACATAGAATCAGCTTTATTATAATAAAATATCAAAAAGATTCCACAGTAAATTATATTAATTTCCATGTCAGTAACTAGAATATTTTTACTTTGTAATTATAAAATCTAATCATTATTTTCACTGCATATAACATAAAAATATGCTTAAGTCAATCATAAAACAATCATGCATATCCCTGAGATGCTTGATTAACAATCTATGTTATATAACAATTGAGACAGTATACAATAAAACGTACCTTAGAAGCTGAATACACAGTAAGAAGTGGACTTGGATTCACACCAGAGGCAGACGCTACATTGATGACCACTCCTCTACTCCGTGATACCATTTCAGGTAAAACAACACTTGTCATCTGTAAAATAAAAGATGTCCCTGGCATTGCACATATTTTATCTATCCAGGGGCAATAACTAAAAAAAACCCACTTTAAAACAATTAATAAATAAAAAGCGTTCGCGGGGGACAAAAAAGTTTTTTTTATTGTATTCTAAATATTTCAAACAGACCTTCAAGGGCATTACTAATAGTATACTACAAGTTTTATAAAAAATTGTACCCATGAGAGCACTAACAAGGCCATTTTCCATAAATTTAATATTTCCAAGGGGCATAACTCTTTTTAAAGAAGTCGATCAGCCACCATTATACGACTTGTCCGACATATTGCTGATATTAACCTATAGTACTGTGGATTCATTTATTTTCGTGGGTACCAATTTTCGTGGATTGGGGAAAACTTGCATTTTCGTGGATATTTGATTTCGTGGTTTTCCAAAAGTCTGCATATAATCATACAGCAAAGGAGTAGGCCCAATAAGACCCCTTTTTGGCCCCAAAATATAGCAGTTATACAAAATTGTTTAAATGTAAATGTTTAGCTATTTATTGGAAAGAAGAATACTTCTGTTACATAAATATGGGCTGTTTTTGACAATACAATGCACATGTATCGGGTTCTAGCATCATTAAGTCATGCTAAATTACTGAAATCTTCGAAATTTTAGCATTTTGGTTAATTTTTAGACGGTTTCCGTCTGAAATGGAAGTGGCCGCATTTGTGTTCATTCTTAATATTTAAATGTAAGTTGTATTTGATGATAATACATAACATATATAAAGGTTGAGAATGAACACGGATGCGGCCACTTTCATTTTTGACAAAAACCATCTGAAAAATGACATATTATGGCATATTTGATAGATTTTTCATATTTAAGCTTGAATTTGAGCGTCTTTAATGACTAAATCAGTTCAAATCTTTCACATAAACTAATTGAATCGACTGAAGTAGACACTTAAGTGTTTAAAAAGTGTCCAAAATTTTTCATTAGATGAACCTGAATTTTGAGGCCAAAATCAGCCCTTACCGGACCTACTCCTTTGTAATTCGTTGAACATATAATTTCGTGGTTTCCCTGAACCCACGAAATCCACGATAATTGGTATCCAGCGAATAATAATGAATCCACAGTATAAGTTTTTGAAAAATCTGGCAAGAATTGTACCTGTGAGAGCGCTAACGAGGCCATTTTCCATAAATTTAATATTTCCAAGGGGCATAACTCTTTTTAAAAAGGTTGATCGGCCACCATTATGACTTGTCCGACATATTGCTGATATTAACCTATAGTATAAGTTTTATAAAAATCTGACAAGAATTGTACCTGTGAGAGCGCTAACAAGACCGGATGGACGGATGGACGGACACACAGACGGACGCTTGGTATTTCCATGTCCACCGCAACGCGTTACGCAGGAGACAAAAATACAACATTTTCTACTTTTAATAACATTGTAAATTTAAATTACTTTCTTTTTAATTCTAAGCAAGGAAATTACTTGATTTAAATAATCCAGAAGAACCTATACTATTTCTCTATATTGTTAAATAACGTAACGACTAAAATGGTGCATTTAAATATTACTTCCCATCAAATTCTGTTGACCTTCCAAGAATAAAGTATGACCTGTACATACATGAACAAATAAAAGTTGTGGAGAGGAAGCAAAAATGAGCATCATGTATTGGGTTTGTCTTGTTTTTTAAGGGTGCAAAGTAGTATGCTTAGAGGGATAAATATCTACTATTGTAGGTGATTTTTCTCTTGTAGCAAATGTGTTTCAATTGAATTCACAACTGAACACTATCGTTGTCATTCATAACCAGCATGAAAAGGACACATGCCCTATAAAATACTTATTTTTGTAATAGTTTGATTTTAAGAAATATATGATCTAAAAGATTCAGGTACAAGATTACAATTCAATCTTTATACAGCCGTCATATGTCATAAGTGCTTCCTAATGAGCTTTGATATAAAGAAACTAATTTCTGGGCCCTTAATTCTTTTTAATCTTGAGGTTCTCATAATCCTGGCTAACTCATCACTAGCAGCATATGCCCAACAAAAATAAATTAAAGCGCTAGTTAAGAAATTTGACTCCTACTTTTTACCACTCGTATAAGTTTAATAAAATCATAAACAAGTGTAGTGTACTTCAAGAAATCACCTGAAAAAGCTCTCGGACTGAATTATATCTCCCCTTTAACGTGAAATTGTTCATATATTTAATTACAGCTGGTAGACTTCTATAATGTAGATATTATTCGTCCCAAAAGTAGGACACTACACTATAAAAATGGTTTTTGAGAACAAACATGGGATTTTTTCAATCTGCATTTATTGAAGAAATGCACTGCAACATAACTGTGTTCTCGTGTCAGTAGTAAGCCCCGTTGAAAAAAAAAGAAATAAAACATCTGTGAAATACTAAGACAACATTTAATTATACCACTCTTTAGTACAAAATGTACAATGAACTCATTATTATTTGTAGAGTACTAACTTTCATTGATTTTCTGGGTATATGTGATCCACAACTCTGTCAAGTCTGACAGTAACAGGATTAACCTTATACTTAGAGGTAGGGAGCTCATTAAATGTGTAATCAACTTCTAAAAGAAATAGAATGTTCAATTAATTGGTCATGTTGGTAATCTGTTTCTTAAGGACAAATAGAACATCTTTTGTAAAAGTTCATTTTTTATACGTGGGATTTTTTTTGATTGATCCTTACTGGTTCTAATATAATCTCCAAATAAAAAACAAGATATCTTAAATAATCTCTAAAATAATGAAGTTATCATACTTGGCAATACATACCATTGTAACAGATGTAATATTGACATGAAGTAGGTCCATTAGCTTCTACAAATAAAAAAAATCTACAATTTAGAACTTGTTGTATCATTTAAATTTCAATGGATACAAATATATTAAAATAACCCCTTAACACCAATTCATTATGCCAGGCTAACTGATTTTTAATTTTTTTTTTTTTAATTTTTGGTGTTTTAACGCCACTTTTAAGCACGCTTTTGGGCTATTTCGTGGCGGCCACTTTTTATTAGTGGAAGAAGAAGGAGTGCCTGGAGAAAACCACCAACCTTCGATAGGAAAACTGACAATCCTGGTCAATTAAGATTGGAGTCGAGTGCACCTGCACGAGCGGGGTTCGAACTCACAACCTCAGGCCAGGCTAACTGAGTTGGTGGTCTAGTGCAAGGACCAGTTGCTCATATGTCAGAACTTTACACTTGCATATTACTTAGCTTATGTATCAAAGAATACTTTGATTTTTAGACTGAAAATTCATAATGTTGATTTGTACCGTGAGTGATTTTCAGATCTGCCAGACAGTTACTTCCTGTTTTATGATACTTTTGTATTTTTCATTAGACCCTTAAGCTTTGAGTATAGATTTTTTTCTTCGATGTATAATGATAAGTTTGGCCATACTTGAACATATATGTTCACATATTTTGTGTTATGCACTTGCTTAGCATGTACTGCAAATTCAGAAAATTGTGTGTATATTTATTATTGAGATTGGTGATAAGTTGACAAAAATGTGAGTTTAATTATTGCTATTCAGGAAATGCTACATACAATTATTGCTAGCATTATTCAAACGCAAGCTTTAATTTTTGCCAAAAAACCCTATCCTTTCGAAACTTTCGCAATTATAAAACCATTGCAAAAAATTTCTAAATACACAATGTTTAAAATATTAGAAGGAAAAGTATTTATCATATATTAAAATGTCCTCATATTCTGAATTATGTCTAAAACTCACTTTTGTACATTCTTCAAGGATTTACAGTGTGTATATTTAAGGCAGAATTTCATGTAAGACCCTAAAACAATATGCATAGTAATACACCAAACTTTTATCTGATTGAAAGGACTATTGAAGTGGCCTTTGCATCAATATGCGAATGAATTGTGATATATGTATCTTTGAAAATGCAAATTTGTGTGTCATAACACCATTCCATTTTGTATGTATATGTGCCCGGTTACTATACCTTTCTTTATCATTTCGAACTGATTTCACTTTGAGCAAACCAAGCATTAACTAATAATTACATTAGATGTATGTTTCATTATTATATGTTATTTTGATTGGCTAACAGCAATCTCGCGTCATTCTTCATTTCAAAATGAATTTCATGAATTGTAACATACATGATGACACACGTTTCCACAATAAAGTGCACAGGTAAATAAAAGAAAAAAATGATAGTAATCGTGTTTTCATGATCATAGCGAAAAAATGTAATTATAAGTATTGAATGATTCTTTTAGTAATTTCATAGGGTTGTAAAAGCGTTGATCGTGCATACATTTTTAGAAGCGCTTCATACAAAATGTACTTCGGTCAATGCTTTTACACCCCAATGAATTTACAAAAAGAAGCATTCAATTCTTAATTAAAACAGAACCCTGTAGCAAACCCTTAGTATATTTTTGAAATTGTAAAGATTTAAAGATAACTCTTTTAATTATTCATATTTACCTTTTCTCGATCAGGGATTTCCAAGAAATACATAGGGAAATCATATGACATTCCCACATTATTTACTGAAAGGATAAAAGGATAAAGATATTATTGTCATTTGAATTTTTTATTGAATATGCTTGTTCGATTTCACACATATTTTTCGACAAACAAAGGTACTTTGTGATGTATTTGTAAATGTCATGATGGATAAACTGCTTGATTTATATACTGAAACTAAAATCAAGGAAGAAATCCATATGCTAATTAAACATCACTCATAACTCAAAGAGGTCCAAAGTAAAAAGACAAAGAATAGTTCAATGAAATGCTGACATCATGCAATCTATAGCCCAACTTGTTATTAGACATTGACCAAAAGTTCAATGCTCAAATACAAAAAATGTATATCAAATTCAAAGTAGTTTCAAACAAGGAATGACTGCTTGGCAGATGTCAAAATCACTTGCACTATCTCTATAGCTATATATATCAAGAAACTATTGATCAAGAAAAAAAATCAATAAAAATTGTCATTGAAGGGCAATAACTCCTAAAAGGGGTCAATTGACAAATTTGGTCATGTTAATTTAACTGTAGATCTTATTTTGCTGATCCTTTTTGCTTCATGCAGTTTTACTCTTTCTATCAAAGTTTTCAAAATAATTGCCAAAATTGCAAAATTTGGATACAAATTACTATTTAAATTTTAAGGATAATTACTAGTAAATAATATATTAACAATTTTCTTGATTTGATTAATTTGTAGTTCTTATTTTGCTGAACATACTTTCTGTTGACAGTTTCTCTGTATCCATTTTCATTATGAAGAAAATAAACGAACAGGTGGAAAAATCATCATTTAAGAACAATAACTCTTATAAGGCATCACCTGACAATTTCAGTGATGTTGGCATACCTTGTTGATCATTTTTGGTGGTTTCATTTTCATTCTATCTAATATGCAAGAAATTGCAAAAAATGTAAATAATTGACAAAACTTGCAATTCAAGGGTGATAACTCTAATAAGGAGTCTATTGACAAATTTGATAATGTTCATACATATATTTGCAGATCATGATTTGGTGTAAGAAACAGTTCCTCTCTATTTATAAGGTGTAATCTGGTAAATTAAGGGGGATGGAAAATAGTATTTCTTTATATTCAAATTTTTTTTTTTGTCCCTGTCATATTTTTCTCTATAGCTAATTAAATGTAATGATTTTCAGGGTACTACACAATTACTTGCGTTTTATCCTTATTTTTTATTTTTGCCCTGGCAGCAATGCTGGTTGCTTGCAGAAACTTTCTACTATGGATACACTAAGAATAAGTTTTGTTGATATTGGTCCTGTGGTTTCATCAGAGAAGACTTTTAGCAAAGTTCAAAACAGTGGATGCCAAGCAATAGTAATAGCTTACATGGCCAATAAAAAGTAAAATAACAAAAATACTGAACTCCAAGGAAAACTCAAAACGGAAAGTGCCTTATCAAATGGCAAAATCAAAGGCTAAAACACATCAAAAGAATGGAAAACAACTGTCATATTCCTGACTTGGTACAGGCATTTCCTTATGTACAAAATGGTGAATTAAACCTGGTTTTATAGCTAGCTAAACCTCTCATTTGTATGACAGTCGCATACAATTCCATTATACTGACAGCAATGTGTGAATAAAACAAACAGGCATAATAGGTAACAAGTTTGAGCTTTTTAAAAAGCTGTGGACTGCTTCGCTCTACCCTAATTCAAGGTAATATGTGTGCATGTAATTGTTGAATTAGTATTCTGGAGGTGTGCCTAGATTGGCAGAAGTTATAAAATACAGATAATGCATTTTAGTAAACCATGAACATTGTATAGGAACATTGTTTAGCAAAACAAATTGTGCATATTGCAGGTTAACAAAGCAAATAAACATGTATTAATAATTGATATTTCAGTATTGAATTTCAGTGTGCAATATATGCATAATAAAACGAACATGAATTAATGACAGTTGATCGGAACTGAAATTTTCGTCATTTGATGTCTTATCCTGAGACGAGAAAAGTCTTTAATCAAAATTGAGAATGGAAATGGGGAATGTGTCAAAGAGACAACAACCCAACCATAGAGCAGACAACAGCCGAAGGCCACCAATGGGTCTTCAATGCAGCGAGAAACTCCCGCAGCCGGAGGTGTCCTTCAGCTGGACCCTAAACAAATATGTATACTAGTTCAGTGATAATGGACGTAATACTAAACTCTAAATTATACACAAGAAACTAAAATTAAAAATGATACAAGACTTACAAAGGCCAGAGGCTCCTGACTTGGGACAGGCGCAAAAATGTGGCGGGGTTAAACATGTTTTTTGAGATCTCAACCCTCCCCCTATACCTCTAGCCAATGTAGAAAAAACAAACGTACAACAGTACGCACAGTAAAACTCAGTTCTTTATCTCATTTAAGCCAATAGCTGTTGCTGTATCTCAGCCTCATCATAAAGCAACCAATCAGAATCTATATGTAATAAGTAATTATTTCAAGATAGGTGTTTATCGACTGAAACTAATAGCTCCACACCGTGATGCGAAGCAAAAATGTCAAAAATAGGGGTACATCAGTCAACATTGTGTTATAATCTTAATCACTATAAAAACAAACAACTATGTCAACAAAGAAAAACAAAATGGCATATAGACAAAGCACATAAGCAAAAATGAAAGACAAGAATACAAAAAATGACCATAGCACAATAACACAATGGTGGGATGCATTAGTACCGAGCCATGCCAAAAGAATATTACCAAAAATAGACTAAACAGTAAAGGTTAATAATTTACAAAGACAAATAAAAGAACACTATAACACGCAATTAAGATGATTAAAAATGTCAGTATATAATGCCAGATGAGCTAAAAAATTAGTAACTGAATGGACCACCACTAGACAGTGAAAGACAAGAACATCTCAGAACCATATCAAAAGGTTTCAAATAATCATCTGCCCAACACAAGTTCTTTCAGATGAGAAATGCTTTCTATATTCATACATTTAAAACGTCATACTCACAATAGATTTCCTGGTTTGAATTTTCATCCCTATATAATTGAAGATATATTTTCAACACTTACAAAGAAAACATACCAAATTATCACTTTTATTGCAAATATAAAAATACTGATTTCCAAGCGCAGGAAATTTTTTCATTGGGTCTGCTCTTGACCAAAAATTACAAAAATAAAAATAATTTGAATTTAAAAACAAAAAGACCTAACAGTCTATTTTAACCTTTGTCACATTGATGGAGTATCAATGCTAGTTTCAACTACGAAGGATTAAATTTGCCAAAGTCTGTGTACAAGACTATAGAAAATTTTTACTTTGTTGAACATTCAAATTTGTGGTTCAAAAACACGAAATTGGTATCCTATGAATAATACTGAATCCACAGTATATTTGTATTACAATAAATCATAATCTGGATACTTACAAACAAAATCTATCATTAAATTCATGCAAGATTTGTATGCACCTGTCCTAAGTCAGGAGCCTGTTGATGTGGTGCATAAGTGTTTCTCGTTTCTCGTTTTTTATATAGGTTAGAACGTTGGTTTTCCCGTTTGAATGGTTTTACACTAGTCATTTTGGGGACCTTTATAGCTTGCTGTTCGGTATGAGCCAAGGATCCGTGTTGAAGGCCATACTTTGACCTATAATTGTCTACTTTTTACACATTGTGACTTGGATGGACAGTTGTCTCATTGGCACTCATACCACATCTTCTTATTTCTGAGAATATGTACTGAAGCACTTGCTTCTTAGAATATTTCATTAAATTGTAATGTATTGAAGTTTTGATAAAGTACAAGACCTAATAAAACCAGTGACTACTGTGAGACAGCCTTTTATATTTCTGACCTATATATGTTAAAATAACAGTGTTGAAACAACATACAAACTCTGTGTAAAGCAACTTGGTACAACATTTCATTAAACAGTTCAAGACAATATTATTGCAAAAATACAAATAACAATGCTAAATCTATCAATCTTAAAGCCAAGTATATCAAGAATCCTAGACATAATACCATCAAAGCTAACATACAGTTTAATTTGAATGAAGTGTAGAACAGTGTAATTTTGACATTATCAAATCCGATTTTTTCAATAATGAAAATTAGACTTGATTTCAATTTATAGAACCAAATGTCAGTTTAGTGCACATATAAATATCCTTTTTTCTTTAAACAAATTCTCCCAGATAATGAAATAACAGTTAATCTGCATGCCAGTTTTATAACTGAATATATGTTTTGTGACAAAAAATCTTATGCATCCTGAGAACAGAAACAAATTAAACTATCAATTGAATAGGTAGTCTCAGACGCTGATTGGTCTAAGTAGTTCATCTACTGTATCACTAGCCTGTCAATGAGTTCAAATCCAACTCATGGCAGGTGTGTTCAACTCCAGTCTTAATTGACTAGGATTTCCATTTCCAGCAGAAGGTTGGTGGTTCTCTCTGGCCACTCTAGCTTTCTTCACCCATTAAAATCTGGCTGCCACTATTTGTGAAAGTGGCACTGAACACTAATAATCGATCAAAGAAGATCTGCTGGAATGGAAGGTGGAAAACTCTATTGGGGAAAAAGTAAATTTATATATTGGTAAAGGACAGAAATTTCGCTTGCAACAGATAAACAAAAATGCCTTAAATAGTTATTACAAGTTTCCTCTAACATGTCAGGAAGGTGAAAATCTCATTTTCCATAGAATTTCAATATAACTATGTCACTTCAATGCCATCAACTATAGTTTGCAATCTACCAGTAATCAATTAAATGAGGATCGTTTGTATTAGGTCTTCAAATCTTTGATCCCTTTAAGTTTAAAACAATATGCCTTGTATTTTCAGTAGATACTTATTCAAAATCCTCTGTCAGTTTTTTTTTAATCCTGTGAGAGCAAATAAAGAAAATTTGCTGAGAATGTTCCATTAATAATTATTCATCATCCCTGCATAGTTTGGTTGATATTGGCAATCAGTTAAAGAGATGAATAATTTCAATACTGTTTCAGTGGAAACTATGTG